AAACATGAAAATAAAAACGGCATACTCGTTAGTTTGATACAAGCAAAACGCAATTTCCTGATGCGAATAAAATTTTAGGTGTTGCTCATGCTTCAAAATCCATGTACAAGGAGATGAAGATGACACAGGCTAGAAATGAAGCACAGCGATGTAAATGTAAACAAAACAAAAATGAAAAAATCAAGGAAAGGCAAATTAGATAAACTGGCCTGTAAATTTCTACGATCCGGCGCCAAAGCCATAGAACTTAGAACAAACGAGTGGGACGCTTGGGCTGTTTTTATTTTCATGTTTTGTGGGAATGCGCGGCCCTTGATGGATACTGCAGATGCAGCCGAGTTGCTCTTGACAGTTTCTGGGCCCTGCTGTTCGTCATCTTCTGCTCTTTTTTTATAGCAGCCCTCCAATGTTATCCGCATCAGGAAATTGCGTTTTACCTTGTATTTGAGAGCGCAATTAAAGGACTTGGCAAAGTGCCAAGGAGCCGCACGCGACAGGCGCGCTTACGACGGATGTTATGAACGGCCGGGAATCTGCGCCATAAAAAGGCAGTGGGCGGAGCATGGAAGAATTAGCGCGTTTTCACGGCCCTGTATCTCCATTCCTGGGCATGTTTGGGCGGGGGGACCACGACCATTATCGGGGCATTCTGAGGGGGGGCTGGTTAGTCTCATCACCCTCATGTGTATGAGCGTACCATGTGTCTCTAAGTGCATCCGGTTCCTTTGCTCAACACCCTCGAATGAAAATTTGGGAGACGTGGGGCAGTTGGCACCCAGTCGGAGGGCAACCTCCGGAGAAACTGCAAATTCCCATTTTTTAGCCCAATCTGCTATGCCATCAATACTTGCATTAGGACAGGTTTTTATGTGCAGTACACCTTGACATCGTCCGCATACGTGGAACATAGCACACCGGATGGAATACAACCGAGCAAGTCATTGATGTACATAATAAATATCAGTGGACATCCCAAGCAAGATCTTTGAAGAAAACCATTGTCCGTTCGGTATATTCTAGAGCAAGTTCCATTGATCACCACTCTCTAATGCCTACCAGAAAGAAACGCCTCCAGAAAATTGATAAGACATCCTGTAAGGTCCAACGTTTTGATTTTGGAAAACAAGTGCACGAGGGAATCGGAATCGAAGGCTTATGGAGAAATCTATGTTAGACAACAAATTACAGATCTTTTCTCGTTCAATTGTGGTGTGCTTGCCAAGCTGGGACACTAGAGAGAAGCGCTGAGGCCGTAGACCTTTTGGGGAGGAAACCATGCTGGCATGGCGACAAAAGATTTTTACACAGAAGAAATTTCTTAATTTGCTCACACACAATCCGTTCCATTACCTTGCTGACTGAAGAGGTTAGGACTACGAGCTGAGTTTTTGAAATCACTTTTACTAGCTTCCATTATTGCAATATCGGCCTAACAAGGACCCAAGCGCCATTTTCTGGTACTGCCCCTTTCAAGAGTATCTGTTGAGAGAAGTTGTCAATGCAGGAGTGATGCCCTTCTGCCAGATTTTTATGATAAAGTATATATTGGTAAACCATCTGGTGATGTGGAGCATCGAAGCGGAAGCTTGCTGAGGACCGAAAAACATTTTCGTAATTGATATCCACTCAATCGAGTTTGTATACCGATAAATCCCCACTCCAATTTGTTTCCGAATTTTCCTTTTTGTAGAATGATTCAAAATGCGCTGCAAAAACTTCAGCTTTATCGCTATCGGTTTGTAAGTGTTGCACCAGACGGTGAAGTGATGGTATTAATTAGTCCAGATTCTTTCAGACTGGATCACAGTAACTCCAAAACCTTCTCTTATCTAGAGCAGCAATTGCGCTCCTCATTAGCTTCATTTTTCAAGTTTTTGCTACTTCTTTTTGGAGTAAGCAAGTAATGTAAAGGTACACCATGGATTTTACGCAGATGATTTACGCGCTTGAATAGTCGCTGAACTCGAGCCTGAAGATCTTCTAGGTAAGGAGGGAAGCCTTGGAGCATTCATGTTGGTGTAAGCATGTGGAATGAATCGGGAAATAAGAGAATGACAAAAGTCAACAAAACTGAAGTAGTAATCATCAATACCCTTCTAGCAGTCAATGGTTCGTTTCTGAGCAGACAGATGACTATTCGTTGGCAAATTAAAGGAAACTGTAGCGTGGTCTGATGTTGAAAAGGGGGCTCGAGCTGAGTGTCACGTATAAGAGAGGGACAATTCGTAAGGACAAGATCCAGAATATTACAATCATGGGTGGGTTCTAGCACCAGTTGCTTGAAATTATGGGACCCCAAGAGGCTCACAAAGAGAGAACTATCTTTATTGAGACTTTTAATACCCCGTTTTTGAGATGGCCGAGACACGAGGTATCGAAGAGGTTGAAATTCTTCACTAACAATCGGCATTACGATGTTCAGCAGCAGGCCTTCAAATAAGGAAAGAAAGTGGTCTTTTGGAAAAGTTCCCCCCGTTAACGTGATGGGACTACGGTAGCAGAGACAAGGATACAATCACGCGCTGATGAGGGACATTTTTACGGTGACACACTGGAGAAATTGAGAGAGGATATGAGAAACGAACGAATATCGTCTCGAATAGCAGCTACTACTCCGTCACCTGGCATATCCCCTTCTCTGTTACAACGATATATAAATTAGTGACGACCGGCTGGCAATCACCATTAATTATCTTATGTCGGCTATACAACCATGTCTTCGTCCGAAATTACGTCAGAAGGATTTATCGTTTCGAAACAAGTGATGTGAGGTCGGAAGCTTATTATTATAGAAGGTGTGTTGAAGAGAAGGTCATCTGCGATAATATTCGCCGAGAAGAATGGTTTAATATGCCGAAGTGATTGGCGTGGCCCTATGGTGAAAGGCCCAAGAGTTTTTACGGAAGGAGTCATCATGCGATGGTGTGCCATTGTTTTTGATGGTCCACAGAAATTAGTCCCTTGTTCCCTGTGAGGAAGAAAGAAAACGCCGAGGAAGCTCTCTTGGAGTGTTTAGTTCATGTATTCTGAGGTTACGCACTACGTACTGCAATTTCCCCAAATTCGCATTTCTTCGTCCTGCTTCTTTACGTAATGCCACGAATCTATCCCTCAGTTCCTTTTAGCCGTAATCTGTTCGGCATACAAAAGAACGAAATAGAAAAAAAAAAAAAAAAAATGGTTTTTTCAGGTTTGGCGGCCCGGGGACTCATGTTGCTGGAGCAACTTGTCTTTAAGAGCTTGCGTGAAGGTTAACTCGTTTTTTGATGTCCATCCGACATTGTGCTTCTTTTGGCGTTCCAGATTGCCGAACGACGCCGATGATGTCTTTTCTTATTCGGAGGAGCTATCCACAATTCAAACTGACCATCTCTAAGAAATTACACCAATTCCCCCTCAAGGAATTTCCATGTCAAATTTTCTTGTAGCTACCTCGTCGGCCTGTTCCCCTATCCCAACCCACGTGATGCGCCTGAGCTTCCCCTCTATTTTTTCGCCATCTGCTCTCGCCTTCACAATAGTAGAGTACAACATTTTGGAATCAATTGTAGCCGCATTCTGAAGAACATGAAGTCGATAACAGTTAATTCTAGGGAAGCCAAGCGGGACATGACTTCATTTTGGCGAGCATCAATCTCGTCAACCTTATCCACGAGCCTGTACAAGAGGCAAATTGGTCTAACAGCATTGAGGCCCATAGAGGGAGGTCTTTCTCCTTATCTCGATCGGAGGATCTGCGTTGTGATCCACGTGGCATGAGGAATCAATGAACTAGCGACGACTCCACTTCAACGTAAATGGAAAAAGTCGCAATGTACTAGAAAGTAACAGCGAAAGGAGTAGCAATACAGAATATCTTGTCCCAAGAATCCGTCAGGGGCAGGCAAGGAATAGCAAAACTACCAAAATACCCAGAGAAATACCTGTGAGAACAGAGAGCAACCGCCGCACGCACCTATGGATATGATAAAATGATACTTTACCAAGAAACTTCCCGCGCTCCTTGCTTATCCCATCGTTCCAACCGACGCCTACGATTGCGATTGGAGCATGTTTTTCTCTGACACATACCATGAATACTTCCGAGTCCGCACACAACCCACGACAATGTCTTATCTCTTCACTTGTCTTCGCAAAGTACGTCCCGCGATCAAGCTCTTGCAATTCGGTGACTCTCCTTCGTATATTATTTGTGAATCCGTCAAAGTGTGGATAATTCTGGGACTGAGGGACAGATTCACATTCTGTTTCAACGAATGGACGGCCACGCGTTCGCCTCGGAGAAGGATCTGTCTCTTCAAGAAAGTAACAGCGGAGGCACCTTGGTCTGTGNGACCTTGAAAGCGTTTGTGGTATGCGGAAGACAAAGGTGCTCCAGGCGCAGCTCAAACGAGGAAGGACTCCAAGGCAACTCCGTAATAGAAACATTGCGCTTCTGAGAGGGGGCTGCGCAGGTCTTTACCAACAGAGGAAGCCCTTGAAGCGCCTCACCAAGAGGTAACATGTCACCGAAACCGTGCCAAATGTCAGTAGATCGGTCAGTAGATCACGGCCGGATGAGGTATTTCAGCACAAAAGCTGTGCTAGGTGGCACTTTTCTTTATCTCTTACAGGGTTACTCCCAAAAGAGTGAGTTCTTATTGGTGACTAAATATTGCCTAGTCCGGAAAGTTTTGACAAAACTTCGCTTGTTCACTTTGAAGAGGAGTAGCGAGTGAATGAGCCACATAAGATCACATTTTAAATGCTGTGAGAAAGTGGGATTTTGAGATTAAGTATTAAGCCTTCGTTGATATTATTCTTCATCTTTGGTTTGAGTCAACACTGCCTGAAAATGAATAACCGCCACAACTTCCAAGGCTTTTACTTTACCAGTGGGATCATCCGGCTGCCGCCGGGTGCTCCTCCTTCTGTTTCACGGCCCGGCTTCGCCGGGCCGACCTGGCTTCGCCAGGCACTCTTCCCTTGGGCGAGGTAGAATGCACTAAATGTGCCAAATGGCGGCAGTTATTTTTTAAATGTAGGAAAATGAGTTGAAAATAGCTCAACATCAGTCATTATCTACCAACATCTGGTCCCTCTTGCTTACTACAGACTTTCAACCGTGAGAAGGCTGCACCATATCATTAAGGACCGAAGTTGCGACATCAGAATGGGTAAAGATGAATTAGTCCGGATGAGTCCTTAACACCCGGAAGAGGCATAACTGCAGAGTCATGGGTGGCACTGAAAAGGAGAACTCACATTGCCTGTACATGTCAAAGTGTGTGTCGCACGGAGAGCTCGAATGTTACCACCGACAGGACGTCCCTCCCAATTGTTGGGTTCCCTCCTTATTTTGCTTCATTTGCGACCGCCACCTCCTAACACATCGCATAGCCGCAGATTTGCGAAAATTATGAGTTTCTCGATTTTCTCGTTTCAGCCGCACTATATACCCCCCCCCCCCCCCTGCCCGCTCGACACCATTGCATGCATCTAAAAGCAAACACTTCATGGACGACCTTGATTCTGTTGCCATCAAAGGAAAGAGTTCACACACTGAGCCTCTAATACTCGGCATTATAGCGGTAAGAAGTGATAAAAATGTAGCGCAGATGGTATCTTATCTGTTTTTATCGATTGATAAGATTACCTGTCACCCGTCATCAATGTCCTCATCACTAAATCTCTATGATTTGGTAGCGTGAACCACCTTGAACAGCGACGACGACTGCAACTCCCTTATCAGCCCCTATCAGTAGTTATCGCTTCCAGTCACCCACGATTGATGTCCCCATCTCACCCTCTATATCACTTGCTGAGACGTACGCCTCGCTGATGCTGTGACCTGCGCTGTGAATACGATGACCTCACCTTTCTAACGCCCCTTATCGAGCCTTATCAGCAGCTATACATGCTTATCAGCAGCTTACACTCTTGTCACCCACCAATAATGTTCCATACCCTATATCATGCCTTAGAATCAAGAGCTAGCTGATGCTGTCACCATTGTGAATATGGTAACCTTCTCCTTCTAACGCCCCTTATCGAATCTTATCAGCAGCTTACAGTTTTTGTGACCCACTAATGATGTTCTTGGCCCATACCCTATATCATATCTTAGAATCAAGAGCTAGCTGATGCTGTCACCCGCGTTATGAATATGGTGACCTCCCCTTCTAACGCCTCTTATCGGATCTTATCAGCTGATATCACTTCCTGTCACCCACCAGTAGTGTTCCCGTCACACCCCCCCCCCCCACATCACTTCTTGAAAACAACGTTCTACGCCTACTGCGTCAAGCGGTATGGATTTCGTGACACACAGACAGACGTCACACACAAGCATATACACACACTGACAGACATACTTAGAGAATTATTAGGTTGTCCGGAAAGTTCTCAGCGTTTTGTGTTACTATTTTTTGTACATTCATTGCTGATTAACTCATTCTCCCTTGCGTCTCAGTAGTACATCCTGAAGAGAATTTTTTGCGCTATCTGATGGTATAATTGCCGTTTCACCATTGCTTATTGCCTTTTTACCATTTGCTTGATAAAACCCCCTTTTCCCAAGACTTTTTGAAGCATGTCAAAAGAGCAACTTCGGACGATATTTTTCTTCGACTAAAATTGGGTCAATCCGCAATCGAGACAGCTCAACAAATTAACCAGGTGTGGGGGCCCAATAGTGCTAGAGAAAGCACCGTGCGGCAATGGTTCGAACAAATTTCGTTCTGGAGATTTCAGCCTTGAAGATGAACCTCATAGCGGTCGACCTAAAGCAATACCTGACGAGGATTTGAAGGCGTTTGTGGAGGCTGACCCATCCCAAACAGTTCGAGAGATTGCAGAAAAGCTAGGCGTTGGCAAATCCACTGTTGCGGATGGTCTGAAACGCATTGGGAAGGTGAAAAAACTCGACAAGTGGGTGCCCCACAATTTGAGTGACCGGCAGAAATTGGCACGTCTCGAGGTTTCTTCTTCACTGCTTTTGCGCAACAGAAACGACCCGTTTTTGGACCGAATTGTCACCTGTGATGAAAAGTGGATCATGTATGATAACAGGAGACGTTACGGACAGTAGTTGGACGCCGACGAACCACCGAGGCAATTTCCAAAGCCGAATCTTCACCAAAAAAGGTTATGGTCACAGTGTGGTGGTCATCGGCTGGTGTGATCCACTATAACTTTTTGTCACCAGGCCAAACCATCACAGCAGAGTCCTACTGTGAAGAAATCGACGAAATGTACCGAAAATTGCGTCAGCTGCAGCCAGCACTTGTCAACAGAAAGGGTCCGATTCTTCTGCATGACAACGCCCGCCCACACGTTTCACAAATCACTATCCATAAATTGAACGAATTGGGGTTGAAGTTCTACCACCATATTCTCCAGACCTTTCTTCCAGGCCTTGGACCAGGCAAAAAAGGCCTACATGGACTTCGTGGTTTCCTTACCACCCAGTTTTTTTTCTTTGATGGGATTTATCGAATGTCACATTGGCAAAAGTGTGCTGATTCGAACGGTGCCTATTTCGATTAAATCCGATGAGTATTAAGAAAGTTATGATCGTTTGAAGTGAAACACTCAAAACGCTGAGAACTTTCCGGACAACCTAATGTGTAGGATCTCCACTGTTATTCTATCTGTCGAGTCGGTAATGAGGCACGTTAATCAAAAGGTGTCGTCGATGTTAATCAAAAGGCTCTTCAATATCATCTGTGGTAGGAGATCAGTCGGTTCCCGAAGTTTGGCTTCAATGTTGCGCACGCCTTCGGTTTTTCGGTACTCACTTCTTTCTGATACTGAAAAGTAATTCTGCCCGAAACTCAACGAGGAATCGAGTCACATCGTTTATTATAACTATCGGTTCCTATCAATTGTTGTTGTCAATGAAAATTCAATGAACTCCTTAAAAATTCTCAAAACTTCCCGGACAGATCTCCTCTGGCACACAATAGTAAGGTTCCCTTGCAAATGGTGATCTTTTGCGCTTGTTATCAGCCAATCTTCCATTTTCCAAATTTTCCATATTTTTCCACCATTTCTACATTAATGATCTAAGAGTTTCCGAAGCTGTTTTCGTTATTAATAACTGCTATTCAACGTCACAGTACGCGTTCGGAATGTTATCACAAGAATGCTGACCATGAGATGTGGGCAAAATTCGTGCCCCAGGCGGAGTCGAACCCGCACCTCACGCTTTCCGGGCGAGTGCGCTATCCGTTACGCCACCAGGGCCGCTTTTACCCTCTCAGCTTAACGGCTTATGCCGTAACCTTACAGCACTCACACGTTTAACTTGGTGAGCCGGTCAGCCGTAATCGTTAGATATCGGCATGGAACCGCAAGGCCGAAGGCTTTACAAGTTAAACGTGTGAGTGCTGTAAGGTTACGGCATAAGCCGTTAAGCTGAGAGGGTAAAAGCGGCCCTGGTGGCGTAACGGATAGCGCACTCGCCCGGAAAGCGTGAGGTGCGGGTTCGACTCCCGCCTGGGGCACGACTTTTGCCCACAACTCAGCATTCTTGTAAGGGTTTCCCTGTTTTGTTGAGGTACTTTTTTGATGTTGTCTTGATTTTGATGCCGCTTGATTTAGCGTGCATTCACGTCTACCTTCGATCTGCCGTGACTTTTCCGCATTGGCTGATGATCAGTGAGAGTAGCTCGGGGGGTATGCTCGTCGACTCGTACTCGTGTCGACTTTTTCTTCGCCGTGTCGCGCTACTTCTACTTCATGCCTCAACATCCGTTGCGTGAAGTAAACTAAATT